CGAATTTAGTTTCCAGCCAATCCACGAAAGTAATGTTCTGAAACAACTGTCCTACCTCAAAGGGTCCTCCTCTACCGGAGCAAATAGTATTCCTGTCTTTGCTCTACTAACTGTTGGTCACCTAATATACAAACATATAGCCCATATTTTCAACCTGTCCATCAAAGAAGCATCAGTTCCTCTAGAATGGAAACATTCCTATGTCCGTCCACTTCACAAAGGGGGCCCTAAAGATGATCCAAATAACTACCGACCTATCTCAATTTTGTCCCCGTTGATGAAAATTTTGGAAAAATTATTGACCTACCAAATTAGCAGTTTCCTTACTCTTTGGTTCTATTCGGTAAAGTCACGTAGGTAAAAAAAATAATACAACAAAAACCATGACGTTTCGGTCACAACACAAGCGGTGAAACACAGGTCGTGGTCTGAGCTTGGCTGTGTTTCACTCCAGCGCTGTCCTCGAGACAGTCTGGTCCCTTCACCTGATGAAGGCCGCTTTTGTTGTGGCCGAAACGTCATGTTTTTTTTTTACCTACGTGACTTTACCGAATAGAACCAAAGAGTATGGATCCTTGCAGTCACGAAAGCTTCAAATCTAGAATTAGCAGTTTCCTGTCCACCAACAATCTACTACATCTAAAACAATCTGGGTTCCGAAAAAAATACAGCACCACATCTGCTGCATTACTCTCTGAATCACATTTACAGTAGCCTTGATAATAAGCAGTACTGTGCCTGTCTTTTTCTAGACCTGTCCAAAGCTTTTGATACAGTAGACCACAACACCCTGCTTAGTAAACTAAGTTGCCTCGGTTTTTCCGAAAACGCAGTAAAATGGTTACAAAATTACCTCTTTTCTCGCACCCAAACTGTATTCACAGATGGTTAGAGGTCAAAGAGTGTTAAGATAACAAAAGGGGTTCCACAGGGTTCCATCCTCGGCCCCCTTTTGTTCTCTCTTTATGTCAATGACTTGGGCACTGACCTGGATCATTACAGGGTAAATCTTTTTGCAGATGACACGATACTGATTACTGCTGGCCGCTCTCCGGATGACGTGATTGCTAACCTACAGGGTGATTTTAACAAACTACAACATCAGCTAGTTGCTCTTCAACTAGTCCTGAATACCTCCAAAACCAAGGTGCTATGCTTCTCACCAGGACTAAAGCAGGAAATTATTTTTCCCCAATTACATTCCTTAAATAATTGTCAAATAGAGCAAGTCAAAATCTATAAGTATTTTGGGGTCATCCTGGATTCAAAACTTAATTTTTAAGATCACATTGATTATATTGGTAAAAAGACAAAAATAAATATTGGTTTTCTGTATCGACACAAGCACTGCTTCCCCCCAACGTTCCGTTTGGAATTGATAAAAACTACCATACTGCCTCTACTTGACTACTGTGACATCGTGTATAAATCAGCCCCAAGTACTGTACTGAAGAAGCTTGATTCCATCTATCACTCGGCCTTAAGAGTTACATTGAACTGCCCATATAGGACTCGCCACTGTGATCTCTACATTGGGTCAAACTTAACATCTCTTAATGTTCGACGGCTTGTGCACCAGATCTTATTTATTCACGATGTACTTACAAAAAAAATCCGCAGACTACCTGCTGGATCTCCTCTCTGTTTCAAAGAAAAAATTTGACCTCAGGTCTTCGCTCATTTACCAGCTTCACATTCCCTATTGCCGTACAAAAACTGGAGGAAGGGCCTTTGCTATTGATGCCCCCAGAGTCTGGAAAGCTATTGCCAATAAACTGCAACTTGAATCGCTACCAATGAGATCTTCTCTAAACTGCTCTAGAGGAGTTGTACACCCCGAGCTGCCACTGCTATTCATTGGCGTAAAATAAAAGAAAATGTTTCGCTCCGGATGACGCTGCAAAGTATTATCTGTATTTTGATTTAGCGTGCTGATCTTAAAGGTGCATTGAAAATTTTGATACTCCGACCGATGCTTCTGTTGTTGTGGAGTAACTGATGCAGCCAGCTATGGCTCTAGGATTTGGTGTTACATGTTATTTATGTAGTTTATTGTAAAAATTCGGTCACAGTCCTTATGATCACTGTTACGTTGCAATCATGGCTTTATTTTTTGGTGATTTGGAAAAGTTTTTTGGTTTGGACATGTTAGTTTTGTTATAGTACAGAGTTAGACTGATGCGCCCTAATCTAAGTTTTTGTGGTTCTTGTTGTTGTTTGACTTGCATCCCACGGTGATTTTTTGCACACAGCGTTGGTGTACGGTGCTTTTTTCAGGAATATTTTTGCTACTCATTGGTTTTTTCGGTAAAGTCACGTATGTAGAAATACAATAAAATTATATTAAAACAAAAAACAATCACGACGTTTCGATCACAACGCAAGCGATCTTCATCAGGTGTCAAGAACAAATCACAGAGGTAAATACAACAAAAAGATGAGAGACGAGAATTCAACAAACCTGAAAAAACATTATGTGAAGCACATCCAGTCAGGCCAACAACACAGTTAGACACTTCCTGGCGGACCACGAATTTCAGAAGAGTGTTAAATTTCGTGTTCAACCTTTGGATTGCACATACCAGCATAAATAGAATGAAAAATACGAGGTACACGGTCAGTAGAAATACATATACAAGTCCACCAAGAGGTAAGGAGGGAGGAAAGACAGACAGGGAGGCAGAGAGAGAGAGAGAGGGGGTGGGGCCAGAGGGATGAACAGAAGCTTAAATAGGAAATACGGTTGGAGGGGGGGAGGGGCCAGAGCGAGAGCGGCAGCTCAAACATGCACATCTTACACATACAAAACGGCAGCTCAAAAAAGGACCACCTCTTGGTCCTTTCAGGTTTGTTGAATTCTCGTCTCTCATCTTTTTGTTGTATTTACCTCCGTGATTTGTTCTTGACACCTGATGAAGATCGCTTGCGTTGTGATCGAAATGTCGTGATTGTTTTTTGTTTTAATATAATTTTATTGTATTTCTACATACGTGACTTTACCGAAAAAACCAATGAGTAATTTGATGCAATCACGAAAGCTTTAATACTTTAATATTTTTGCTGTTTTTTTTCCATGGATTTTCTGTTTGCACAGTCACATAGTCACTTTAAGATGTTTTTTTCTTGTTCGTTTTTTTTGTTTTTTTTGTTTGTTGTGGTTGCACCCGATTCAAGAGCCGAATGGCTCACAGGGCTATACCAAAATAAACTGAACTGAACACTGCTCTATGTCGGCCTCCCCACGCCCTACAGGTTGTGACGGTTATTTCACCACACTTTACTGCGCTAGTCAGGTAGGGAGGACAAGTTGTGGCATATAAGTAATATTTAAAAGTACTTTTTTTAAAACACGCTTTAATGAAATGCACCGTACGAGTAATGGCAGAACTCCAGGAAGTGGCCCCGAGGCTTGCCATAACGTAAGGGACTGTGGTGATTTACAGCCAACGTTAGTTGAGCGTGGATAATTAGACCCAAGGCGAAACATAACATAAAAAGATGGTTTAAAAATATTTATTTTTAATGATAGAATATAGTATTGTCAACAGTGTGACATAAGTATACCAAGTTTGCAGTCGATACCACATTGGGAAGTGGGTTAAAATTGAGTTACAAGATTTGAGGATATGTCAACAACAACAGAGTGAGTTAATAGAAAGCGTGTAAAAAGATTGTTTAAAAATATATTTTTATGATAGAATATAGTATTATCATCAATAAGACATAAGTATAGGAAGTTTGCAGTCGATACCAAATTGGGAAGTGGGTTACAATTGAGTTATAAGATTTGAGGATACGACAACAACAACAACAGACAGTGAGTTAAATAAAAGCGTGTAATAAAAAAAGTACCACACAGCAATGGATGTTCTTGCATTGCCCCCTGCTGATACAATTGCTCGGTAGCAGCTTACACCACTTGTTCTCTGCTTGGGAATCAAGATCGAGACGTGGCCAAAGTCGTTGATTTCACCACACCTTGCAATCCCTTTTTACCATTTGCCAGACAGGTCACGGCAGCTCAGTTAACACGCAAAATCATATACCAACACTTCACGTGATTTAGCCTATTGATAAACACCAAACATACCAAACCTTTGTCCAACCCATTGGTAACTTCTCACATACAAAAGCACTTTAAAGATCGACCAGCTTCGCCTCCAAGTTACTGGTTTATGGGTGTGCTGACAGTGTTTTGTGTCAGCGCATTGTGAAGGCAGATGTACACTGTGTGTATTGTACACTGGTTGTGTGTGTTGTATACGTCTGTGTGTATTTTAGCATGCAGTAACATTTTCTGCCAGGGCCAAATTTGTGGAAAATCGGTATCTGAACAGGTTTTGTGCCATTTATATTTCTACCTTCAATAATTACTAAGTGCTGTGTGTAAAAATCAACATGAGGGAGTTAGAGGTGTGCTGTGAGCGATACTACCCCCTTCTCCCAGTCTTCTCTCCCATCTCCACTTTGTCGTGCCCGCCTTAATAGGTGCTTAACACAGCACCTGGCACGAACAGTCTGGTAAAGGTAATAAACGGGGGGTATCTCTATATTAAGACATGGCTGAGCAGTAGCACGAACAGTCTGGTAAAGGTAATAAACGGGTGTATCTCTATATTAAGACATGGCTGAGCAGTAGGTATTTGCCGTTTTTTGCAGAGATTTGCGGTTCCATCATAGTGGCTTCTCTGGTTAATGCTGCAGATGTGTTGACCAGAATTATGTGCAGTCTGCTTGACAGTGGACGTTAAATATCCTATGATGTTACATGAAAAAGAGTAGGCCATGTGTGTTGGCGTAACAACCCGAATCTGCCAAAGTTGCAAATTACACAGCAAATTGCCTGATTGGGTAAAGTCACGTCACAATATTCCCCCTACTGTGAAACCACTGCAGACTATAATAGCCTGTGAAAAATAGCGCCTTTCTCATAAGCCTTGTGATGTATCAATGGCGCAAATGTCAAATGTGCTCGATTCGAATTGTCTTTTTATGTGCAGAGTACCAAGATTTGAACTCCGCGCTTGACCAAATCAGCTCCTTCCTGGACCAGCTGGAGGAGCGGAACGACTCCTTGAATGCTCGTCTCCGGGAGTTGCTGGCGTCGAACCAGCAGGAGCGACGGGGCGCGTCCAGCGAGGCCCAGGGCACTCAGCAGCAAAACGAGCGCTGATGCCACATCTTCCACCCCCTCTTCCACCCCCTCATCATCGCTCACCTCCTAAGCCCGGTTGGGCTGGAAGTTAGATCTTTTTCTTTCTTCAACCATACCGAAACCGAGACTGGAGGAGAGTTGAATTGGAAGTGAGAGGCTTTATAAAAATTTTGGATCTTGTGTTTCGTTGACGGAGGTGTTGGTTTATTGCATTTTAAGGCATCCAAGGCAAATTAAATGTGGTTCATTTATTCCTTCACCTGCATGTGTCTTTCTGTTTCCGTGTTGATGAGTCGATGTCAGATATTGCCGTGACTTCAGCTGACAAAATAAAAACCACAGTATTGCAATAACTTTCAAAGTATATTTGCTCATATGCACAACCTGAAATAGAGTGGTGTCACAATCTCCTTTATACAAACAAAAGTGTTTTCATTGATTTTTCACAAGATGAGTTTTGTATAGTAGTTTTACTCCTAGTTTTAGACCTATAGAGATCCATTATCTCTTGCAAGAGGGTTTTGAGAGTGGTAATAATGGTAAAGCTGAATAAATTTGGATTTCGCGTTTAACACTGACACAACCTCTCGCGTGTGAATGGTTAAGTCACAGAAACAGAAGATTCCTTTACAGTCTAGAATAGATTCCAGTTCACTACTGTGTATAATTTGAATTTTTTTGAATGTAAAAAAAAAATCCTGTCATGTTTGTTTTAAGCACTCGTATGCGTGATGAAATGAAATTCACTTGCTGGTAATGTTGGTTATATGTTTGTCACTACTACCCATCAGAAATGTGAATGTAGGTATGAACATTCCTGCTGCTGTTTGTGGAATAAACGTCACATGAGGAATGTCGTATGTCATGAACATTGAGCACTTGACTCTGTAATGCGTTGTTATTTCTCAAGTGCAGCTGTTCGACTATTCCATAAAATATTCAATTAGCATAATTCTAGGTACAGCTACTTTCTTTTACCCGTGGGCAGATTATCCAGAATGCTGATTAACCTCACTCGTTCGCGTATTGCAGGTTTCAATTATTTGCTGCTTATGACTCATCACGGTCGGTGAATCATTGCCCACTTTCTTGCAAACATGTTTGGAACTAATTGATTATTTTAAGAAACAATTACACACATGTATGTCTTCACTTCCAACCTATATAGGTAAACAGTACACATTTTATATTCTAATTTGTACTTGCTTTGCATGATCTACGTTTTTTTTAATCTGGGTCATCCCTCTCCAGAATGTTGAGGTTTGACTGATTTTAAGATATGACGAGCCATGACTGCATCCTCTTGTGATTGATGGCCACTGAGAACTTATTCACACTTGTGATTCAGTTCTTTCATACCAAGGGTTGTATGATCACGTCAATTTGTTGAGCTTTCAAATATGTTGAGGTGCGAGGCGTTTATAGATTGCAGTACAGCAAGTATATACCAGAACTCATCTGTCGGAGCTTAAAGTATAATTTGTATACCATGTCCCCATGTATGCGTGGTGTTCTTTAGGCGCTCCAGCCCAACGCTTTGTAGATGTATTGTTCCAGACTTAAGGCAACGGTACACTTTGTCTCGGAGATACAGGTGTAATGTGACAACACTGACACGACAAACTAGGCTTCATTTCGGCTTTGTGACTGTAAGAGGATTGGCTTAGCACGGTTGATTACATACGATGCGGAATAAGTTAAACATTTGTATTGCCAGTCTGTCATGTGCTCTGCTGCCTGCTGATTAATTAACGTCAGTGCACTGCCACTCTATTATCTACACTGCTAATTTTCCTTTTGACCATTTTGAGTATGCCAGTCTATAATCTGTTGCCTGCTTCTTTACCTCACTTAGTGTACTCCCAGCCTTTCATGTTAACTGTATTCTGCTTTTGCAGCTGCTGCCTGTATTGGCAGCTTTTAATGTCGACTGTAGCAATGCTTATGTCATTGAGTCGGCGTACTGGCAGTCTATAATCTAAACTGTAGCCTACTTCTCAACTTACCTGTGCGTACTGCTGCTCTTTAATTTACACTGCTTTCTGCTTATTTCTTCATTGCATTTCCATTGTTTACATTGCTCATGTCACGCCATTTACTCATACGGAGTACTGCGATACTGAGAGCTGTGCCATCATCGGGGATTGCTGTGCACGTCGATGTGTGTGTGTGCGAGTCGATGTGTGTGTGTTTGAGTCCATATGTGTGTCTGTCTTTTACGATTGGACAACGCCCAATGTGTGTGTGTGTCCAAGTGTTTGTGTGTCAGTCCAAGTGTGCGTGTCAGTCCATTTTTGTGTGTATCAGTCGCTGTGTGTGTTAGTCCATGTGTGTGTGTACGTCGATGTGTGTGTCAGTCCAGATGTGTGTTTGTTAGTCCACGTATGTGTAAGTCCATACATGTGTGTGTGTCACTCGATGTGTGTGTGTGTAAGTCAATGCGTGTGTGTGAGTCGATATGTGTGTTAATCCATGTGTGTGTATCTAAAGTAGATGTTTGTGTGACAGTCCATATGTATATGTGTGTGTAGGGCAATGTGTGTGTCAGTCTATGTATGTGTGTGTAAGTCCATGTGTGTGTGTCTTAGTCGATATGTGTGTGTGTAAGTACATATGTGTGTTTACGTCAATCTGTCTGTGAGTCCACGTATATCTGTGTGTGTGTCGCTGTATGTGTCTACGTCCATATATGTGTGTGTAACTCCATGTGTGTGTATCTAAAGTGGATGTCTATGCGTGTGTGAGTCCATATGTGTGTGTGTGCAAGTCCATGTGTTTGTGTGTGCGAGTCGATATGTGTGTGTCCATGGGCGTGTGTTAGTCGCTTTGTGTCCGTGGCTCCATGTGAGTCCGTGTAAGTCCATTTCTTTGCGTGTTGTAGGTCCATGTGTGCGTGTGAGTGAATGTGTATGCTTTATTGACCTGGTCAAGGCCTATGATACCATCAGTAGGTCTGGCCTCTGGGTTGTTCTTCATACTTTCGCAGTCCCTCACCCTTTGCTCACGATCCTTAAGGACCTTCATTATGGTGAGCGGCCCCGCGTCAAACTACGTGGCCGCCAGTCAGAGCCATTCCCTCTACACCTTGGGGTGCGACAGGGATGTCCTCTGGCTCCCACATTATTTAACATTTTGACCACGTAGTTCGTGAAGACTTCAATGGCTGTACCGGAGGAATTACCATATGGTACATATACAATGGGAGGCTGATCGATGCCCGGGTACGGTCAAGGGATGGCTCCCTATTGATCAACCATGTAATGTATGCCGATGCTCTGGTGAATCCTGCTCACTCAGAGGAGGACTTGGAGGCACTGCTGCTGAACCTGGAGCTTGGCACTAAGAGGTGGGGCCTTACCATCAGCCCCATTAAATCTAAGCACCTGGCTGGGTATTTTGTACCATCGGACAATCCACCCCCACAACTCTCAATTTATGATGCGCCAGTTGTGGAGAGATTGGAGAGATTCCCATACCTGGCCAGTGTGCTCATGACCAGCTCCGGTTTAACACCAGAGGTCTCACTCCAAATCAGTTGAGCGCCATTATCTTTTCATCGGCTGCGTTACGCTGTGTGGAAGCTACCTGGTCTCTCGCTCCGCATGAAGCTCCAGGTCTCAGCCACGGTAATCCCCTACCTTCTGTATGCTTGCGAAATGTGCACCCACCTAATGGAACATCTTCGCCGGTTGGAAACATTTAGGCTGGCCTGCTAACAATCCACCCTGGGTTTAACCATATGTCTGTGTGTGTGCGTCTAAGTCGATGTGTTTCTATGTGTGTGGGTCGATGTCAGTGTGTAAGTCCATGTGTGTGTCTGCCTTTTTAGCCCGGGCAACGCCGGGTACTTCCCGCTAGTACATTATAAGGTTGCACTCATTACATACAAAGCGCTTGCCACAAATTAACCACAATACCTTTTTGATATTATCAAAGACCATAAACCATCACGCAAGCTCTGGTCATCCTCGCAGAAGCTTTTGGCTAGTCATCGAATAAAGACGGTCACTGCATTGCACACTTTCAGATGTACTTCTGCAGCCGTCTGGAATGTTTTTCCTTCCGATATTAGGAAGTCACTGGAGCTACGCATTTTTTAAGTCTGGAATGAAAATAAAATTTCTTTAGAACTGCTTTTTGTGCATAGTTTGTTGTCCTTCCCCCGCACCTCAGATGAGCATGGTTGGCTATGTACGGTGTGAAAGAAGTTCAACATACCAACATGGAAACTCGCTAAATAACCTAACCAACATTGACACTCGTTTAAATAACTTAACCAACATGGTGGTGTACCGCCACCGTGTGGTTAAATGGTACAACTGCAGTGCCTCTGCGCGGTAACACGAAGCTGTGGCACTGTGGTGTGTCTTCACGGGTTCATTGCAGCCAACCGTGCTTCAGACAAACGCCAGGACGGCACAGCATTAAGGATTCTTAACTACGGAGAATGCGCGGGTGACGCCTGACAGGTGGCAACTGCTGGAGTTAGGGTTTGGGGTTAGGGGTCAGGGTTTCATGGTTTTAGGGTTAGGGTTTTAGGGTTAGGGTTTTAGGGTTAGGGGTTAGGGGATAGGTTTAGGGTTAGGGGTTAGGGTTGGGTTTAGGGGTTACGGTTAGGGGTTTGGGCTTAGGGGTTAGGGTTAACGGTTAGGGTTAAGGTTAGGGTTTAGGGTTAGGGTTTAGGGTCAGGGGTTAGGGCTAGGGTTAGGGTTAGGGGTTAGGGTTGGGTTAGGGTTCGGGTTAGGGGTTAGGGTTTAGGGTTAGGGTTAGAGTCAGGGTTTAGGGTTAGGGTTGGGTTAGGGTAGGGTTAGCGGTTATGGGTTAGGGTTCATTTGGATTCGGGTTTGGGATAGGGTTAGGGGGTAGGGTTAATTTGTAGGGTTAGAGGGTTATGGTTAGGAGTTAGCGTTCGGGGTTAAGGTTAGCTGTTAGCTGTTACGGTTATGGGTAGGGTTGGGTGTTACGGGTTAAGGTTAGCGGTTAGGGTTTGGGTTTAAGGTTAGGGGTTAGGCACATCTGGCAAAAAACATTGCCAAGCTCTGCAGTGTGTACAAAATTATTTGGCAGGCGTCATGACGGGTACTGCAAAATCCGACCATGTTTGTCCAGTGCTCACTGAACTGCATTGGCTTCCTGTTCCCGAACTCATTCATTATAAGGTTGCACTCATTACATACAAAGCGCTTGCCACAAATGAACCACAATACCTTGCTGGTATCATCCAAGAGCATAAACGCTCATGCTAACTCTGGTCATCCTCGCAGCAGCTTTTGGCTAGTCATCGAATAAAGACGGTCGCTGCATTGCACGTTTTCAGATGCACTTCTGCAGCCATCTGGAATGTTCTGATATTAGGAAGTCACTGGAGCTATGCATTTTTAAAATCTAGATTGAAAATACGTTTTCTTGAGAACTGCTTTTGTGCTTAGTTTGTTGTCCTTCCCCCGCACCTCCGATGAGCATGGTTGGCTATGTATGGTGTGAAAGAAGTTCAACATACACACCAACATGGTTAGGTTATTTAATAATGATGGTTAGGTTATTTAGCGAGTGTCCATGATGATTAGGTTATTTAATAACCATCATGGACACTTGCTAAATAACTTAACCATCATGGACACTCGCTAAATAACCTAACCATCATGGACACTCGCTAATTAACCTAACCATCATGGACACTCGCTAAATAACCTAACCATCATGGACACTCGCTAAATAACCTAACCATCATGGACACTCGCTAAATAACCTAACCATCATGGACACTCACTAAATAACCTAACCAACATAGGCACTCACTAATTAACCTAACCAACATGGACACTCGCTAAATAACCTAACCAACATGGACACTCGCTAAATAACCTAACCAACA